ATATGGGCACATATTTTCAGGTGCTTCCAATTAGTGGTGTACCTGTTATTTCCACTTACCTGCCATTTAAAAAAAATATATATTTTATTGATTTCTTACAGAGAGGAAGGGAGAGAGATAGAGAGCTAGAAACGTCGATGAGAGAGAAACATCGACCAGCTGCCTCTTGCACACCCTCTACCGGGGATGTGCCTGCAACTGATGTACATGCCCTTGACCGGAATCGAACCTGGGACCTTTCAGGCCGCAGACCGACGCTCTACCACTGAGCCAAACCGGTTTTGGCTTACCTGCCATTTTTATATTGATGTGTATGCATAATATATACATCATGTGGTAGGTGGTATGTATTAAGTATATGTTCATACAGGTAATACATATGTGTAATGGCCCTGGCTGGTTTTGGCACAGTATTTAGACCGTCAGCCTGCAGACTGAAGGGTCATGGGTTCAATTCCCAGTCAAGAGCATGCACCTTGGTTGCAGACTGATCCTTGGCCCTGGTTGGGGTACGTGCGGCAGGCAACCAATTAATGTGTCTCACATTGGTGTTTCTCTCCCCATCCTCCCTTCCCTTCACTTTCTCTAAAAAATAAAAAAAATAAAAAATTCAATGGAAAATATATCCTTGCGGGAGGATTAAAAAATAACATGTGTAATGACTACATTACACATATATACAGTATACACATATATAAACTATACACATATATACAGTGTACACATATATACAGTATACACATAGACTTTATGTGGATATATGCACATGTTTATACATAGCTTTTAACAATACTATCTACTTTAATAGAGGCCTTGCTTAATATCTTCATAATATCCAGTTTCCTTTGTTAAACCAGGTTTCTGTTGTTGGCCATTCAAACCATTTTGGTGAAGAAGGGATGGTTGCAGGTGGGGAGTCTGAAAACGTATGACTTCATGCAAGTGCCCATCCCTCAGATTTGAGTAACATTGGTCCACTAGGAAAGCTGCCCATTAGAAATTCTTATTACCTACTGCGTGTATCTGCATCCAGAACATTCTCAGTAATTGGCGTGTGCCCTGCAGGTGCACAGAGATGCGGAGTCCCAGCTGGTTCTGGAGGAGTGGAAAAGGGAGAGGAAGGAGATGAGGTAAGAGCACCCCGTCCTGAACATAGGGCGTCCACCACCCTGACACGCACACCCCTGGCCCGGGCATACTTCCAGACGCCCTTTTTAGCTCCCAGGCATGACCAGAGCCACCCACCCCTCCGCTGTCCGAGAGTGATGTGTGACAACAGTGACCTCCCGCACTCACCTCCTGCCCTTGCATTTGTTTGTTTCTTTTTTTAAAACTGGACAAACGTGCTCTCACGTCTCTCCCCTAAACAGACATATTACGTATCTTGATTCCACATTCCCTGCCAGGCGCATGTGATGTGACGGCCGGGGAGGAGGACCCTGCCTTGCCAACCCGCCTGCTTGGCTTCCCCATGTGGGCAGCCTGGGGGGGTAGGGGGGGGCCTGTTGGTGATGCTGGCTGCACCACGTGGCTCCCGGGACAGTGTTGGAGGCGGGCCCTGCACCACAGTGAATTCCTGGGGCCGGTCCAGCCCTGGCGCTCACCATTACCACAGCCGTTTCCGGAATGTGCCCGCACTCAGTGTGGCTGTGTTGTCTGGTGAATGCCCACTGCTTCCGGAAAAGTGTGGTGGGTGTGCGTCTTGAGGGAATGGTTATTGAGGAGGCTATGTGTCCCTGAGGGGATGTGTTGTGTGGACACTGGTTACAGGCTCACGTCTGCTCTGTGCGTGGCTGCCCCTTCCCTGGAAGGAGAGGGCTGGAGCCCCTTCCTCGGGCTGCAGAAGCCTGGGTGCACCGACTCATCACTCTCAGGGGCTCGGCGTATTTGAATTTAATGATCACTCCAACACCGGGGGGGAAATGTTGGGTGAGAGGGTGACGGGCAAGTACTGAGATTTGATCCTGGGCCCCTCGTCCCCTGCATTCCAGGGACCTGATTATTAGACAAAAATTTCATCTGCCAGAAATTTTTGCTTTGATTTCGAGCGTCTAACAACTTTACATCTCAATGAGATTTAAAAAAAAAAATAGATATATGTTTTTATTGCTTCCAGAGAGGAAAGGGAAGGGAGAGAGAGAAAGACACATCAATGATGAGAGAGAATCATTGACTAGCTGCCTCCTGCAGGCCCTCTCCTGGAGCCTGCAGCCCAGGCACATGCCCTTGACTGGAATCGAACCCGGGTCCCTTCGGTCTGCAGGCTGACTCTATCCACTGAGCCAAACTGTCTAGGGCTGTTTTTCTTATCTGACCCAGTTTTTGCTGTCACCTTGTAAAAAGCGGGGAGGGTCTTGATCCCATTCTATAGATGAGGGCCTTTTGGAGACTGGAACATTCCACATCTGTGTATGTAGCTTCAGAAGCAGTTCCTGCTTTTCTCCTTCTGCCTGTGAGTGTGGTGTGAAGGTATAGAGGGGCAGACACAGGAACCCTGGAGCCTCAGCCAGTGCTCTCGGGGTCCCAGGGGGAGGCGTGGTCGTCCTTCGGATGGGACGGGTGGACAGACGGTTTTCCTCCCAAATGAGCCCTGTGGAACGGTGATTTTGGTTTCAGTCACCTGAACCTCTTCTGAGTCACTGTCTGCCCTCTCTTCTTGCTCCTTCAGAGAAATGAACAAGAGCTTCTTCAACGCCCACTTCGGGAGCCTGTTCCGCACGGACCAGAACCCCACCTACTTCCTGCGGCGCCTGTCGCGGTTTGCCGACATCTACATGGCGTCCCTGAGCTGCCTGCTCACCTACGACGTCAGCCACACCTTCTACCCCAGGAGGACTCCGCTGCAGCACGAGCTCCCCGCCTGGTCGGCCGGGCCCCCCACCTGCAGGCTGCCCCTCCTGCAGGCGGCCCAGGCCAAGTGACCGCGCCACCCGCCCGCCCGCGGACAAGGCCGGCAGCCCGGCCCGGCCCCGGGGGATTCCGGGGGGCTGGCCTCGCGTGGCTACGAGCGTTGCTTTCGGAAAAGACACGGAATCGCCTCTTGGTATTTATTTCGGACCTTCCGGAGGCTGCTCCCCGGGTGGCTGAGACGGAAGCCAGCATGTCACCCCGGGCTAAGTGACAGGCTTCCCAGGGAAACGGCGATCGGCCCTCTTGTTGACCGAGGTGCTGTCACTGGTGTCCGGTTTTCCTGGGGAGACTTCCAATGCCATCTCCGTGTTCCAGCAGGAGAAACTCCGGCCTCTTCCCTGGAAAACAGGGAGCGTTCCCTCCCAGGGTGCATCGGGATTGAAGGGTGTGTGGTATGCAGCGACACTGCTCCCCGAAAGCAGACGGTGTAGTGGGCTCTGCAGCAGCATACGTGGCAGAGGGGACCCCCCAACAGCGGGGTCCTCCAGCCCTTTGGTCCTAGGGCTTCGGTGTTCCAGAGCATCCGTTGGAAAAAAAGAGAAAGAACAAGGGGAGCTGCAAGTCCTTCGCCCAGGATTGTCCTCCGTCTCCGCTACCCATACCCCAGCCCGTCCTGGGGAAGGACAGGCGCCACAAGTGATGGGGGTCGCTCCTTTCCTCAAGGGAGAGAAGGGCACCTGGTCACACGTCCAGCTGGCAGGCAGAACAGCCTGGGACGAGGCTGTGAGCAACAAGCGCTCAGAGCCAACGCTTGGGGATGGGCCCCCTGAAAACGACACCCGAGTGTTGGCTGGAGGTGCTCATTGGAGGACAGAAAAACGGAACAGAAAAAAAAAAGTCCTTGCAGTGAAACGCCGGTCCCCTCCCTGGGCTGTGTTGCTAAAATGTAGGCATTGTCAGAAACCATCCCTTTCTGGAGGCACAGACACACTGCCTCCCCTTGGACTATCGGGGAGGAGGGGACTTGCGTCCAGCAAGGGAGGGGGCGGAGGCCTCACCGCCTGGCTGGCTCCCACCCTCTGCTCCCCTTAGCTTGCTTCCTTTCCTGCCGTGCGTGTGTGCATACATGCGTGGGCTATTGTGGGACTCGGGGTGTTTTTCTTTAGGTGTCTATAAGATGGGGGAGCATGAAGGGCATTGAAACTAAGAGAAAAGGGGTTAGAATAGACTTAGGTAACCGAGTATTTCTCACGTCTTTGTAAGGACAACGCCTGAGACATATGTTTTAAACCTGATATGTGGCAGGTGCAGGCAGGGGCTTGCTAGCAGCGTTTTTATGTAAGTGACTGGCAGACCCAGCCATTGACCACAGGCTAGCTTGGCATGCCACCGCCGCCTGCCACATGCAGGGGCACATGCGTTCTGGAGCGTGCTTTGCAATGCTGCTGTTACGGTGGGATTTTACTCTGGCATTTCCTTGTATTTAACTAGGATAGTGACGGTGACCCTTTGACCCAGGAGGCCCCATCGGGTAGGCCCCTTTCTCCAGCTAAATTTTATTATAAACACAGAGATCCGTTTCTTTTTGGGGGTGGGGTAGGCCTTCTGTTTACTGTTTGTTAGCTCCTAGGTGCTCTGGGCATCAGAGTTGACTAGCATTTAGGGGGTGCAGGTGGAGGCTTGGTGTTGGGGCCTCCAAGGACATGCTGGTGCTGCCGGCTTCACTTCGGGGAAGCTGAGTGAGGACGTAGTTACTCCTGTTTTTAAAAATCTCTTGGTGTCTATCCAATCCGGTGTTCATTGGCTGTCTCGTAGTGCCAGTCACAGGGTGTTTGTTTTACTCAAGAATGAAGTAGACCTGTTTTAAATATATTTTATTGATTTTTTATAGAGAGGAAGGGAGAGAGAGAGTTAGAAACATCGATAGAGTCATCGATCAGCTGCCTCTTGCATGCCCCCCAATGGGGATGTGTCCGCAACCAAGGTACATGCCCTTGACCAGAATCGAACCTGGGGCCTTTCAGTCCGCAGGCTGATGCTCTATCCACTGAGCCAAACAGGTTTCGGCAGTAGACCTGTTTGAAATCCTGCTTTCGTGGCTGTCTAGGCTGGGTGAGCCACGCCTCAGGGGAGAAACACATTAGCTGGGTATGAATTATGAATTTCACAGGGTATTACCAATTAAGGTTTCGGTCTGTGGGCCATCAAACATGGCCGTGCTGAGATCCACCCGGTGCCAGAGGCCTGGCATGTGTCTCAGCGGGGCCCCCTCGCGTGTGCCTGGCAGACCCGTGGTTCCCAAGCCAGCAGCAGGGGGAGGGCGGTGGTGCCACGTGAAGGAGCGGGCAGCCTCCTGGTCTGCGCTCATGACTCAGCCGGGCCTGGGCACACTGCACAGGGCATTCTGTTCTTTCCTTTTGTTCTCCGGGGCTCGCCCTGGTGAAAGCCTGCTGGTCCAAGGGAGGTGGGTCTGTTTTCCACCCTTCAAAAGCAGCCATTTGGAAAGCCAACAGAATAAAATTAGTTTGCACGTTTAAAACATATTCTCCCGCATAGCATGGGTTAGACTGACTTTCTAAGAAGGAGGTGCACACACATTCGTAGTCCAGGGGCGGTCCACGCCAGCTGAAGGCGACCTGCACTGCTGCTTTTCCAGAATTGCTTCTGTAAGGAAACCTAGCTTTTGTTTTTAAAGTATTTTAGGAGCTTGGCTCAGAGCTCCCACTTTCCTCCTAACATAGTCAGTCAGTCAGTCTCTCTCTCTCTCTCTCTCTCTCTCTCTCTCTCTCACGCTCTCTTTCTCTCTCTCTCTTTCTCTCTTTCTCTGTCTCTCTCTCATGCTCTTCAGCTGCATTTCCTGCTGTGGCCATTAGTGCCGCCTAACAGAAACCACCTGTTACTGACCGGGGCCAGCTCAGATTAAATTACTAGCTGCTTTGACTGCCTCGGCCTTCTTCATTATTTCGGAGGAGAAACGGAAAGTAATCTTTCCTCCCACTAATTTAGCTTTGGATGAACTAAATGGCTTTTCCTCCCTCTTCTTTCCCGAAGGCCCTTGACAGCAGTTGAGAGCTGTGCTCAGTATCGCATTGAGCGCCACTCTGCCCAGTGCTCGTGGGCTGCCAGAGACCCACGGGGAGCCCTTGTCTGTCTAGAATGCTCTGAGACCAAATGTGGCCAGAGGCAGCGTTCCCCGACAGCCTTGTTCAGCTCCCGGGGAGCATGTGTTTGGCCCTCTTACCAGTTTCCCTGTGCACCAATTCCCTTCTTTCCTCTTCTATTTTCCTTAGCTTTTGGGAGCCTCGCTCCAAGGCCAGCTAACCTCAACACCCTAGTGGGTTAGGGAAGGAAAAGGAGTGAAGATTCTTTAATGTGGGCTCAGCAAACATTTTCAGCTTCGCGGGCCATTTTCCGTTGCCACTACTCCAGGCATGGACGCAGCTCTGTCCTCTTACAACGTGATTTATAAACCAGCTGCAGGCTGCAGTGGGCCCTCGGGCCGCAGTTGGCAAGCCCTCCTGTCACGAAGAAAGCGTGCAGACGAACAGCCTGGCAGTGGAACAGGAAGCAGGAACGTGTGTTCTGTCCCCAAGGAGCTGGCTCGGGGCATATACACTCCTGTGGCCAGTGGTGACACCCTGTGTTCCCAGCACGGCATCTGGTGTGTAACAGCTGCTGGGCTCGGGCACTCGCATGAGTTGACTATACCTCTGATTGTGGTGGTCATGGCTTCCCATGTAACCCTTTGGGTCCGAGTCCCCCAACCGCTGGGTGTTCAGCAGCTGTGGGCCCTGCTAAGGAGCCCCGTCTCGGATGGGTGAGGTCACACCCCTCCTCTGAGCAACTCCCTTCCTTCACCTCCCTCCCCTCCCCAGGTGTGGGCCCCAGAGCACACCCTGTGAACTCCCTGCACGTGAACTTCTGTCTCTGTGGCGAGCCCGCCCTCAGCGGCCCTCTGCACTCTGCCAGCTCCGTGGCTTGAATCTGACGTCGGGGCCTGTTTTCTAATCATGCGGTAGAATGACTGACGGTGCCTGTACGATCGCAGGCACAGTCAATGCAAACTAGGTCCCCCTCCTATTTATTCTGAATGTGAATTTGCTATTTATTCTGAATGTTGATCTTCTGATACCAGATACTGAATTTATTGCCAAATAAAAAGAATGGTGTCATCCAGTCTATTGCAGGTCATCGTTTTTTTGTGTGTGTGCTTAAGTTAGTGGCAAAGCATAACAAATTCTAATATAACCAATAAGGATATCCCTGTGAGAGGGGAGGGTGAGAGATTTAGGGTTCATTTCTCACCACTCACGTCCCATCATGTCCAGCAAAGCATGCGTGCTTGTTTTCAGAGCCTGTAGACTGTGTATTGAAGCTGGGAAACGTGTGAACTTAACTTTGGGTGGGCAGCAGGCAAACCCACCTGGAATTTCTTTCCTCCCACAGACAGCTCCCTTCCTGAGAACAGGGAGGAGATGGTGATCCTTGGGCTTGTCTGCCATCAAATTGCTGTAAAAGCTGGAGGTTGGAAGCAGTGTTTTAAGGGAAGGAAACACGGAATAATCCTGAATTAGGAGTGAGTGCCATGAAGTCAAATCACTACTGGGTTTTAGACAAATTTAAATATGTTGAAGAGGTATTTATTTATTTATTTATTTATTTTTTATTGTCTAAAGTTTTACATTTGTCTCCTTCCCTCTCCCCCCCCCCCCATGGACACCCCCCTCATCCACAACATTCCCACCTTGGGCAAGCCCCCACCGCCCCAGTGTCTGTGTCCATTGGTTATGCTAATATGCTAACCACCACCCCCACCTCTCCTTTCCTTTGTCTCCGGATCTATTTTTGTTTATCAAATTATGTTGATCATTATATCCCACATATGAGTGAGATGATGTGATATTTATCTTTTTCCAACTGGTGTATTTTGCTTAGCTTAATGCTCTCCAGTTCCATCCATGCTGTTGCAAACGGTAAACATTCCTTCTTTTTTATAGCGTAGTATTCCATTGTATAGATGTATCACCGTTTTTTAATCCACTCTTCTGCTCCTAGGCACTTAGGCTGTTTCCAAATCTTAGCTATTGTAAATGAGCTTTTTTTTAAAAAAAATTTTTTTTTTTTTTTATTAACTGGTTAAGCATGAATGTGAACACGTGTGTGTCTGTATGTAACACCTTGAAATCCTTGATCCCTCATTGTGCCGGGACCTTGATCTCATTCCCTTTCCCACCAGTAGCTGTGTTTCTTTTTGGTCAGTGCCTGTGGGTACCTGTGATGGTGGGATTGGTGGACCCATGTTCTTTCTGGGGAGCGATTTCCTCCCCCCGTGGTGTCCTCCTAGAGAGATGGTAAGCTGTTTTGTGCCTAAAACTGGACTCTTCCCTTTCCTGGAGAAGTGAAAAGCTTCCGGAACTTTGGACTTGGCTCAGCAAAACCCCAAAGATGTGGGGCAAAGTTATGTGGGCTGTGAGGGCAACAGAGAGGGAAGCCTGAGATCTCGACCCAGCCTTTCATTGCTCTGTCCCCGCAGAGGTTCAAACAATCAGTACTGATCAGAGACGATTTGAAAATGTGTGGTGGGTGGGTTGGAGGGTGTCTGGTTGTCACAGTAAAGGGGGCATTTCTGGCCTTGAGAGGGCAGGGACCTGGTGTGGTGGACCTTCTGCCTTGCACGGTCCACCTGCACATCTGCACTAAAATTCCAGAACGTCCACCATGGAGAAAGGAACCCCACACCTCTCTGCAGTTAGTTCCCTCCTCCCCTTCCCTAGGCCCCAAACTACTAATTACTTCCAGCTTCTGAATGTGCTTCTTCTGGAAATTTCATGCACGTGGTATTTTACAATATGTGGCTCTTCGTGTCTGCCTTCTTTCACTCAGTATGTGTCCAAGGTCCATCCATGCTGTTTCCTGCTTCAGTGCTTAGGCCCTTCGTAGGGTGGAATGACATCTCATTATATGGATATACCACAGTTTGATGGGCATTTGGGTTGCTTCCATTTTGGGACTATCCTACCTAATAAAGACAAAATATGCAAATTGACCATCACTCCACGACAAAGATGGTGGTGCTCACAGCCAATAAGGAGGGAACATGCAAATTAATGCAACAAAGATGTTGGTGGCCGGGCCAGGATGCTTGTGTTGTCACCATGGAGGGTACACTCAGGGCCAGAAGTGCCCCCCTCTACTATGATAACCAGACACTTTTCAACCCACCCACCACACATTTCCAAATCATCCCTGATTAGCACTGGCTGAGTGTTTGAACCTCTGCAGGGACAGAGCAATGAAAGGCTGGTTCGAGATTTCAGGCTTTCCTCTCTGTTGCCTTCACAGCTCACATAACTTTGCCCCACATCACTGGGTCTCTGAGCAGCTGGGGCAGGGTGGGACGCCTGCTATGAGAGAGGAGTGTGTGTGTGTGTGTGTGTGTGTGTGTGTGTGTGTGTGTGTGTGTGTGTCGGGGGGAGGGTGTAGAGGGAGCTACAGGAGGGCAGCAGGGCCAGAGTGAAGGCAGCAGCCAGAGCGAAGGCCTGGGTCTCAGGTGCCAGAGGAAGCCAGTGCCAGCAGCCAGGGGAAGGAGGGCTTAGTCTTGCATGAATCTTCGTGCATCGGGCCTCTAGTTATGAATAATGTTCTCTGAACATGCACATGTGCGCTTTTGTGTGGACATGTTTTCATCTCTCTTGGGTATATGCCTGGAGTGAAGTTTCTGGTTCTTATGGCAACTCAGTGTTTAACTTTTTGAGGATCTGCCAAACTTGTCCACCGTGGCTGCACCATTTTGCAATCCCAGCAGCAATGTATGAGGGTTCTAATCTCTCCACATCCTCGCCACCACTTGCTATTATCAGCCTCTTGGGTGATAGCCATCCTAGTGATTGGGAAGTGATGTTTCATTGTGGTTATCATGTCTTCTTAATATATACACACAAACAAGACAGCATTAAGAAATAATTCTAGGTGGATGTTGGCTACTGAACAGACCCTAGTTAGGTCTCATAAGTGGATTTTACCTTCAAAGATTGACCCCTTCTGTGGCGAACAGTAGTTTTGGTTCTCAGAACACTAGATTGTTCCACTGACTTTATTTCTGTCCCATAAACATTTATGGAGCCCCTTTCATGTTCCAGATACTGTGCTAAGAGCTCAGATACAAGGCGAATGAGGCGAGTGCCTGCCTGTGGGAGCTTACAATCGAGTAGGAAAATAAGAGGAGGTCACAGTTACTGTCGAGTTGGGTAGGCTGTAGGAAGTGCCATCGAAGTACTAACGGTGACACACAGGAAGGACAGCCAAAGGTCAGAGGTGGGGGAAGTCCCCTGAGCTGATGGGTGGAGTTCACATCATTCCTCACCCACAGAAACAAAAGAACCCCCCAGATGAACCAAGGAGATGAGGTACGACTTGCATGCTTCAGACATACTTCCAGCTGAACAAGGACCTTATGTTCCCCAGAGGCAGCTGGGGCCGAGGATTCACAGTTCGCAGCCATTGTGAGGAGGCTGGAGGCCAGGTGTCTGCAGCGGGTCCAGCCCTCACAGCGCCCCCAGGGGGTCACTGCCCTCTAGCAGCTGGTCCTCGGAGTCCTGGAAGAGAAGAGGTCTATGGGCGCGTGGAGAGAGCCCAGCACCTGCCGCTTACCGAACCTCTCCGGAGTGAGCATTTCTTTTGGCCACTGGTCTGGGGTGTGGATGGGGGTTCAGGACACACTACCCCAAAATATGACACGTTGGTGTATTATATATCTGAAGCTGAAGGAATAAAAAAAATCCCACAAAAAACACAAAAAACACAGCAGAAGCAGGAAGGTCACTCTGCCCTGCTCTCCTTTCCCATCTCCCCTGAAACAGGTCATAATACCCCAAGGTGAAGGAGGAAGGAAGACACTCATCAGCAGAGATGAGGCATTTGGGGCCAGGAAACCTGTACAAACCGGTTAAACTGACCTTATCGCCCCACTTACTTCTTCACCGTTTACTCCCCAGCCCAGACCTCTGTCTCAACAATTCTTCACAAGTGTCTCGTTTCTTTGTCTACATAAGAGCTTCCTGTGCGGGTCTTCTTCAGTCTTCATTCTCCCGTGAAGCCTCCCGTGGACATGTAAACCTTCAATACCATGTATGTGCTTTTCTCTCTTGTGAACTTGCCTTTGTGGGTTTTCCAGACCAGACAGGGAACCTGAGAGGGTTGCTGAAAACTGTTCCCTCCCCTGCAGCCTGAACTACAGCTCTTCCCCAGGTTCCCTGTGGACGCACGTGGTGGGAACATTCCTGCACGTGGCCGTCTCCTGTCTCATGCTGGGAGGCAGGATGTGTGGTGGTTAGGGCCCCATTCTGGGGATAGTCGCTGCTGTTTGAAGCTTTGTGTGCCCTGGACAAATCATTTAAACTCTGTGGTAGTTTCCTGGTCTATAAAGAATCCTGACAGGTGTGAGGATTAAATCAGCCGCCACGTGAAGGAAGGTATAAGCACCCCACAGATGGTGGCTATTCATATGATGACCATAAAAGTCCTTTAAAATGGAAAATTCATCGCCTGAGCCCTGGCCAATTTAGTCCAGTGGTTAGAGCACCAGCCTGCAGGCTGAAGGGCCGAAGGTTCCATTCTGGTCAAGGGCACATACCTCAGTTGTAGGCTCGATTCAGAACCTGGTCAGAGCATCTGAGGGAGGCAACCAATCAGTGTTGCCTCTCTCAATCTCTACCCTTCCACTTTCTCTAAAAATCAATGGAAAAAATATCCCCGGGTGAGGATTAATAACAACAACAAAAAGATATCATCTGAGAGGGTCCATCAGAAGCCATTCTCAAGAGGTAGCCAGCCACAGCTTATTGCTCTCTCTAGCCCCAATCAGCACTCAAAAATTGTTAATTAGCATAATGGATATGTTCAAGGTATATGGGTTGGCTACAGGTATTCAATAGGTCACCCTCTCCCCAAACAATAGAAAAGGCATGAGATTCCAGCACGACACATTTGGGATGGCATCCTCGGCTTAGGATCCCTGGAACTAGATGTTTTTGTCCCCCCCCCCCCCGCCCCCCCTGGGGCCTGATGAGACGGTTTAGCTGAATCCTGTTTTAGGGATGCGCTCACCTGCCTCAGGTGCATCTCCAGCACAGTGCTGAGTGAGCCCTCAGCTGAGAAGGCATGGAGCACGATGAACAGGATTGGTTACTTTTTCCCTCTGCTTTTATTTAAAAAGGTTGATTTCAACATAATGCTTGCAGAGATAAAAATATTAATAAATGCAATCTGGCTGTTACCCTTGCAGTTTGGACTAGAAACCCTTACATGTGTTTGATTAAAAAGAAAACAAAATAAGGCTTGGCCAGTGTGGCTCAGTGGTTGGGTGTCCACCTATGGAACAGGAGGTCATGGTTCCACTCCTAGTCAGGGCACGTGCCCGAGGTGCTGACACCATCCCCAGTAGGGAGTGTGCAGGAGGCAGCTGATGAGTGGTTCTCTCTCAGGATATTTTTCAATCTATCGCAACTACCGTCCATCTGCTGCCACAGGCACTCAGAACCACATGGCGTTTACATTGGGCTCACTGCAGGAAAAGAACGTCTGCTGCACTGTACAAGCTTCAAATGGTACAATGAAATATTTTTGCAATGTTTCAGTGCAAGTTACAAAAATTCAACAACCATCATAATATATAGATAGTCTTGGGAGAAGGGACAGCGTATGTCCACGCAAGACACAATGACAGCAGCTGGCTTTCGTTATGATTGCTGGAGGATTCTAGACCCACACAAGCCAAGATTCAAGTATTTCCCTTGAAATACCAGTAAGGCCATCAGCTCAGCCTGCGGAAGTACAAAAGGCCATTCATTCAGCGGACAGCTGGCAGTTTTTCTTTATACTAGAGCCTGGTGCCCCAATTTGTGCACTGGTGGGGTCCCTGGTCCTGGCCTGTGACCTCGAAATCTGGGACCCCTTGGGGGATGCCAGAGGCCTGGTGGGTGGATTTGGCACCATCCCTGCAGGCCATGCCAAGGGACCTACCGGTGCACAAATCTGTGCATTGGGCCTCTAGTAGGCTTATAAGATCTATGGTTAATCTCTTCCCATCTTCCTTCTAAGATTCATCAGTTTGTTCCTTGTTTCCATGCCTGTGCGTTGAGCGTCTGCCCCCTGATGGTCAGTGCGTGTCATAGCTACCAGTCCAACAGTTGAATGGCTGAATGACTGAATGGCTCCTTAGGCTTTTATATATATAGATAAAAGGAGGAATTAAGTGCTATCCCAGTTTCTCAATCCAGACCTGGTAATACAGGGAGGGTGTACCTTCGACCTTCAGTGTGTGTGTGGTCCCCGCCATGGGGTCCCTCTGGGAAAGGATTAGTGGAGGCCCCAGTGAGGTCAAGGATCACCAACTCTAGACACAAATGGAAACCCAGAGCAGAACAAGCGCCCCTAAATACAAAGGACCTCGGCGAAGGAACGAAGCCCCACAAGCCAGAAGCAGCTCGGACAACAGGTAGGACAATCTTGGGCAACAACATACACTTATATCTTTTAAAGGCTTTAAAGCAGTGGTCACTAACCCGTGGTCCATGAGGTCCGAAAGGCTGGATTTTATATCTTATGTTGCAGCAGCAACCTCAGAAATGTGTGTGGCAGAACTAGCCCGTTTCTTCCCCTTGTCACCTGATGGTGAGGCTGGTGTGTGCCAACTTTGGTCCTCCCTACTTCTAACTGTTAGGGCTTTTGCAAACCACCCAGAGGCCCCCAGGGACACTGACCACCGCTCGGCTCCCCTCTGCCCCCGAGGCCGGCTTTTAGGCCAGCTGCCCCAGATGTGCTGTGGAGGCTAGCTTTTCTTGGGGGAGGGGGGAAGCGTTCCCCTGAGACTTGCTGAGAGACATCCTCCCCTCTCCCCCGAGGGGAACCTGTTCCCGGAGAAATCATGCCAACTCACCAGGAAGGGGTCGTAGGAAGGCTCTGGGGGAGCCGAGGTGGCGCTCTCGTACATGGGGTTCGAGATATTCTCAGGCAGCTGCTTGCCAAGGGCTGTGACATCGAAGTCCTCTTCACACTGCTCGGAAAGACCAGTCCCAGGCTGAGAGGCAGATGTCCGGGACCGGGCCGCAGCACCTCCTCCCAGCTGGCAGGTAAGGCAAGCCCCGCCCCCACCTCCGCCTGCGGAGCTTTTCCTGTTAACGGTGTTTTCATAGACATCTGGTGCACACACGGTGACACGCACCAATCCTAAGGGTTCAGTTCACAGACTTCTTAATATGCCCATCGAGGTGGGACCACCCCCAAATCAGCATATAGGGCATTTCCATCCCCCCCCCAGAAAGTGCTCTCAGCCTCTCACCTCCCTTCCCCCATACCCTCAGTATGAAATTCCCCCAGCATAACTTATGTCCTGATCTCTATCACCCTGGAGTGGCACTGTCTGCCCTTGAACTGAATTCAAAAGGATTCCCACAGTGTGTGCACTTGTGCTAAATATGATGTTTTTGAACTTTGCCCCCGGAGCTCATTCAGAGGCAGGCGATCTGCTGGAAGGAAGTGAACTGCCCGGTGACGCCATAGGTTTCACCTGGCATGTCTGGAAGAGATGGTGGGGGAGGGGAGGACAGGTCAGGGGGGTAGGAAGCTCAGAAGGGAGGGTGCTCTGCTGCTGGGCTGCTGCGGAATCCAGTCCCCAGGGTCACCCCAAGGTCAGCCAGGATCAGCAGACAAGTTAAAATAGGGGTGAAATGTGGCTCAGTGGTTGAGTGTCGACTCATGAACCAGGAGATCACAGTCTGATTCCCGGACATACATATATATATATATATATATATTTAAATACATTTTTATTGATTTCAGAGAGGAAGGGAGAGGAAGAGAGAGAAACATCAACAACGAGAGAGAATCATTGATCTGCTGCTTCCTATACACCGCCAGTAGGGTAGAGCCCACAATCTGGGACATGTGCCCAGACAGGGAATTGAACTGTGACCTTCCGGTTAATGGGTTGATGCTCAACCACTGAGCTACGCCGGCTGGGCTAAAAATATATTTTAAAAAGTAGGGTGCAATGTGTTTCACTGGCTGCAGTAAGAGGCCCCTCCATCCGGGTCAGCAGCCCTGTCGCCCCGCACAGACTCAGCCTTGAAGCCCACGCCAAGCCTGGCGGGTGCCTGTGCCGTGAATCCTCCCAGGGGAGCGTGCCTCCTGGGCCTGGTGAATTTGCCTCCACTCCAAACCCCTGGCTCGAAGCTCGTAGTGTCTGTGCTATTGGTGGCCCATCGCCCTCTCACCAAACCTGTCTCAGCCAGGAAGAGGGACTGCGAGCTCCTGCTGCTCTGCTCTTAGGGGCAGACACCCAGCCTGGCGGGGGGAAGTGTGTGCCAATTACCCACCTGCTGGTGAGCTCTGGGAAGCAGCCAGTGAGCTGAAGGAGCCCAGAGCCAGGGGCTGGGATGCAGAGGGGACCTCCATCCCCGTGTTCCTGTTTTTCTCATTCTTACCTCAAAATGCTGGAAGCCA